CACAAATCACACGCACACGCACCCGTTCCCCGCCGATTATGCAAAATGGCCAGTGTATCTCTTTCCCCACTTGCTGGTCGTTTCCCTTCCCCAAGTTTGGCTAGTGGTACAGCGAGGGCCTTCGGCTGTGAGCCGCGCTCGAGCGGTTGAGCGCTCACTTGCCTTACAACTTGTTAAGCAGACCTCACCCTCATCCAGGATTGCCTATCTTGCATCCAAGGCAAGATAAATGCCCCACCCTCGTCTCTCTACCCTGCTTCCCTCTGACGGGCCTCTTCCCACGTCTTGGCAACTGCCGGTGTCAACGTAAAATCCACAAACCGAGGAGCGCTTTGCCTGCAGGAGTCAGTCTATCTCGGTACTCTTATTTCAGCAGTAGATCGAAAGGATGTACTGCAGGCAGTTGTGTCAGTTCTGGTGTATCACAAGGGTCGGTTATCCAGCCGGGATAAACGACCGTGATGAATTGAATCCCTGCAAGTGACAGGGAACTGATGGGCATGTGACGGATGCCGAGTCCTTCGACATGGCGACATTACTGCCTTACAAAGGGTCTCCATTGACGAAGCCACGAAGAGGTGGGAAAGGTACCTAGGTCTACCCGGGACGGAGGCATGTCCCGGGTAGACCCAGATTGTGCTGTGCGTCACCAGCGCACCTTGATTGCGGTTTCCATCCCAGTACACTGGCTACCGTTTTGCCTACCCCCCCGCCGAGGTGCACGTGACGGGGAACCCAACGGGACAGGCCCACATGCTTTGTTGGTGCGAGAAAACTTGCTACTGATTTGAACCGGTCACCGTTTGCCGTTTGGGCGTGGGCAGGAGGGGGAAAGGAGGGAGGGAGGGAAGAGAAATGTGGCAGGAGGGCGACTTTGGGGTGGATAACGACCATCCCCTTTCCTCTCTTTGCCAACGTCTCCTCCCATTCCACTTACTCATCTTTCCTTCCCGCACGCACGTTGGTCGCTCTATGCGAAGTTGGTAATATGACCCTTGGCTAAGATAGGCGCGAGCTGAAAGGCGAGTGTGAGAGGAGGGAGGAGGACAACACTCGGCGTCCTTCTCCTGACCCTGTTTTTCTTCCGGGAGGCGCGAGCGATAGCACGGGAAGAGAGGAGGAGGAGTTGCGGAAGAGGGGGAGGACTCTTAGGAGTGGGAGGAACAGCGGCAGGACACCATGCTCCTCCTCTCGCTGCTGCTCCTCCTCCTTCTCCACCTCCTCCGTCTCCTCCTGGTCCTACTTCTGGTCCCCTTAGCTTCATCCAGCGAGTGCGCGGGAAGAAGGCGAAGGGTTCTCGCCCGCATCGTCCTTTCTCCTGCTCCTCCCCTCCCCTTGGTTTCGTGTCTGTGGTGGCCCTTGTCGTGTCGCTCAGACCATATCATTATCCACGATGATTTCTGTGCATGCTCTTGCCACGTGACCCCGCCCCCATCGTCCTTCTCCTGCTGCTCCGGCTCCTCCCCTCCCCTTGGTTTCATGTCTGTGGCCCTTGTCGCTTAGACCATATCATCATCCATGATAATGTCTGTGCATGTTCTTGCCACGTAACACCGCCCGCATCGTCCTTCTCCTGCTGCTCCCGCTCCACCCCTCCCCTTGGTTTCTTGCCTGTGGCCTTTGTCGAGCCGCTCAGACCATATCATCATCCGTGATCATTTCTGTGCATGTTCTTGCCACGTAACCCCAGCCTGCTCGACCATCCATTCCCTTGGGAAGTATCCTTGTCAAGCTCGGGGCATCCATGTCCAGAGTACGTCGGAGACTGGGCAGTACAACCACTGTCGAAACGAAAAGAACACTAGTGCATTGCCACTCTCTGTGGGAACATGCACGCGTAAATTTTTCGTTTCAGGAGTGGTGTGGAGGCCTTATGAAAGCTCAGATAAGACTGGTGATTCTGCAGGATTGGAAAGGTATGCTACAAGGCGGAGAAGCCTGAGATGCTTTCTGAGCATATGGGCTCGGGGTAACCAACTGGTCATCTCTCTCAGGACTGAGAGGGCTGCTTTCTGAGACCGCTGTAGGTCTCTTGATATGCAGCTGGCAGACATGTAGTCGTGCTGTCCGCTGCCTTCTTCCGGCCGAACATAACGCATATGCGTTGAATTCGAGTGTTTCAAAAAAAACGTTGTTCCGAAAGTCAGTACCCTTTTTTCAAATAGAAGAGCACTTCGAATACAAGGAATATGCGCATGTGCGTTCTAATTGAATTTCGAAAGAGAGAGCTGTTTATTGCAATAGAAGTTATAGAACCTCTCTTTTTCCCCCCCCTTTTTTTTGGGGGAGGTCAGGGCCTTCTCTCTCTCTCTCTCTCTCTCTCTCTCTCTCTCTCTCTCTCTCTCTCTCTCTCTCTCTCTCTC